CAAGCAGAAAGACTTTGCACTGACTAGGCCAGATTTTTTCTTACCACTGAAAAAAAGTTCTTTACTTCTTTGGCCATCCCTCCTTTCTCAGATTAGGCTGTTAGGATAGAGTATAAACGTGCTGGCCAGTAGGAGAAAAGAACGCTGATATTTAGAGAGATACTTTCAGTGGAGTTGCTCGGCACATGAGTCTTCCTACTGGGCAGTTCTTGTCTTTGACTTCCTCCTCTTCCCTTGCAGTTGTATCAGGTGTGAAAATTGAAGGATAATATCAGGATAGTAACAAAGATAACTTTGATCTTCTGCTGTGCATTATGAAATCTGTACCTCTCTATTTTAAAAAGGGGGGCTAGATGAGCAGTAAAAAAATGGAGTCAAATAAGTTTAAAAACATGATACCTGCCTTTAAAAATGCCATTTACTAGCTCACTGTTGTAAATGCGTTCCCCATTTGCAGGGATAAAATTAACACTCAGCAATACAAGGCATAAGTTGTATCAGACCTCGTACACTGCAGCCAATTAAAGTAATTCTGATAAATATTGCTTCTCAAGTCTTATGAAAGAATATATCCCCCAACCATGAAGAGCAATTTGTTATGGAATAGCAAGAAGAGTGAACCTGATCCTCCCTCTTCTTTCTTCCGGATGCTCCAAGCCAATGCCACGCCGCTCACAGTATCAGCAAAGCGAGTGTGCAATGTAGGTGTGCTAGATGTTAAAAACGGGTGGAGAGAGAGGTGGGCGTGCGTTCCGTCCCATATAAAGCTGCTTATACAGATTGCCTAGCAGAGCCTTGGCAGCAGGCAGCAGTGCCTGGGGCAAGCCTTCGGCCTGCTGGGGTAGCTGCTGAGCGGGTGGAGAGAGGGAGCAGATCTGCTCCCACTCATGGGCCTTACTGCCACCCCAGGGGAATAGACTGCCCCTTGACAGGAGCTCCTTGATGGTGCCAAAGGCTAGGGGAGTTCCCCACCGTACCCGGAGAGGCTTCAGCAGTCAGAGCTGTCCCTGAAGTCAGGACGGTGGCACCAGAAAGCGCAGTTGGGCGAGAGAGGAGTTAAAACATGGGTCCTCAAGCTACGGCACGCGGGCTGGATCTGGCCCACCATAGCTCTCCATGCGTGTGCACGCGGGCGGCAAGGTGCCGGCTTGCTCGCAAGGAGATCGTTTTGGAGTCGTTGGGAGAAAATGATCTCTGTGCACGCATGCCCCTGCCTTTATGTGCGCACTTGCCCCCCCCACCTGGCCCATGCCCCCTGCCTGCACCACCTTGGCGGCCCACGCCCATCCCTGGCACCTTTCAACTGGCCCCCTATTCAAAAAGTTTGAGGACCCCTGAGTTAAAAGAATAGAAAAACTGGCCCCGCTTTTCTTCCTGCAAATGTTTTTCATGGATTCTTCCTTGTTCATATATTTGCGTGAGAATCTAAAGTAGGGTTGAGGGAGAGCCTTAGGATATATAGCTAGAATATACATATCCCAGTTTTAGTAACAATCCCTACCCTTGAATGGAGGGAATTAAGATGCTAATCCAGTATTATTGTCAATGTGAAGAGGTCAGTAAGAACTTTTCCCTGATGCCCTTTTAACTGCCGTGGGGTCGTGCCTTCTAGGCACTCAGAGATTAGTCTGTGTCAGCTGGTCTTCCGCTTCAAGGAACAATCGAGTGCCAAGCAGTGTCTTTTTACACAGACAATCTGGCACAAGTCAGCCTCGCCACTCCTTGCGGCTCCTTCCTGCTCCACGGACACCATGCAGAATGCCGAGCACTGCCAAGGCCAGCAGAGCTGGCAGGATGGTGCCTTGCTGGTCCCCCATGCTGTCCCCAAAAACTTGGATGCCCTTAGTATAAATATTTGCAGGGTGGCTTGCACAGTAGAACTAAAAGAATATTTTCACGAGCTCACAATGAAGTTAAAAGGCATAAAACAGCAGATAAAAGCTAGCAGCAATAAAATTAACACAATACAACAGTTGAACTTCCTGGTAACATAAAAGCTCTCTTCCTGGCACCCAAAAGATGCAAAAGTAGGCCAAAGATAAGCTTCCCTGAGAAGAAGCTCATTCTACCGGTGGAGCACCATAATCAAAGGCGCCCCCAGTTGCATTCATCTCATCTCTGAGGATGCTGGCGAACCTGAAGAGGTCCACAGATGATGGTGATGATAAGAGCACACAGGCAGATCGATCTTGACTCCTACAAGGTCCCATGGTCCCAAGTGTGTGCGTGCGTGTTTAATTTCTCTACTGTCCAATAGCCAAAGCTCTCAGTAGTTCTCAAGTATGGCTTGAGAGAAGAATTACTAACCTGGTTTTCCCATATTGCAATGCTGTGTTCTTTCTATATGAGGGCTGGAATATTACAATCGGGGTTTGGGTTAGGGTTTGAGAGGGAAACATTATTGACATTAAATTTTTCACAGCTCCTTTAGTTAAATTGGCTCAAAATGTGATTCATGTGTAGGAAAGAGGGTGCATTTTATTCTGTCAAGTTAATCTAAATTAATCTAAGCTTAATTATTCAACTTTCTTTAATATTTTACTAAAATATCCCTTTGCATATTTCATTTTGCTTCAGACATATTTTCAAACTATATCTGTGGAATGCATTTGTTTTGGCATACCTGTAAAACATATGGGCATGTCTGTATCTCAGTTGTGGCACCTGTCTCCATTTCATGCTCTGTCTAACTCTTAAGAATGCCGGCAAAGTTGATTTTGTTGTCGTTCCTTAAACTCAGTCACTGCACTTCTGACATTAGTATATAATTAAACGTGTCTATTACTGTTGTCTCAGATCTGTGTGCAAAAAGACACAAACAGAAACTACCAGGCTTACACCTCTGCAGGAGAGTGTCGGCAGGGTTCCTGGAGCGCAGCAGCTGCATCTACCTTTAAGCAACCTACAATTGGCCCATTCATAAGTTGTCCTGAATGATGTGTGAATTCCCATGCTGGGTTGCTAAGGGGCTAAATAACCATAGTTTCAGTTTCTAACTAAAAATAAGAATTTGCAGCTATTTTTAGCCCAGTTCTTGAGAGCGTTGGGTGATTGTGTTCAGTATCCAAATAAATCATTGTGCATCAATAAACCTAACTATTGAGTTTAAGGACTTGTCTACACTAGCACCAGTATTTTCTACTTTTGGTTTAAATGTTACAATCCTGACAGTTTGAATTAAAAGGGTGCCAAGTGACCCACAAGCTAGTGCTGAGCACGCTCCTAAGCCTCTTGCTGAATGCAACTGTGCCAGAGGTTAAACTATTGGTGGATTTCGCAGTTGGAGCCAAACAGTGATGGTCTTTGTCTTTGGGGCTCTTTGAGAAAAGAAGCGGTGAGTGTCCTTGAAAGCAGAACAAGGGGAACCTTATACTAAATGCTGATTATGAACACAAACTCACTGTGCTACGATTAACTGGAAAAGAGCTTCTTTGCAGCCATTTAGGAGTGTCCACAAACGCAGAAGTTCCAAGTCGTTTAATTTAGTAAGGGTCAGTGACGGAACATTTTCCTATATTGGAGAGTGTACAGTATGGGCATACTGTATTTCTGAATGTTTTACAAGAATTGGCTATTGGCTATAAGATACCACCACATGGCACAGCCCTAATCAACAGATCGCGCAGTAATACTTGCGCCAACCTCTCCCACGGCCAAGCCTTTGCACTCTGTCTACTGTATTATGTTGGCTTCAAATAATTTAAACAGCTCTCCTAAAGTCCTTGGTAACACTCCCACAATGGCTCACACATTTGCCCAACTTTGTCCATGATTCAGGAATTGCCATATTTTAAAAATGCACGTTTTGGGGGAGAGGATTATGCTATTATTTAAGCTACTTTATTCCTCTTAGTATCTAAGGTGTTCATAGCATTTTACATAAAAACACATATGGTGCAATATAAAAGCAGCATAAAACAACAAATACCTTTAAAATATTACAGTAGACAAGATGAACCAGGACTCTGCAAGCACTCATATTCTCCTGCAAGCTTTTAAGATGCCATTCACAAATTTAGAACATGCAAACAAGAAGAATAAAAGGAACATTAACAGTCTTGTTCAAATATTGTTCCTTCATTGGCTGACCAGTTTGACCTAAACACACCAAATTGACCCCAAGCTCTTCTGAGAATGCATATTGGTTGATCCTTGGTAGTCACACCCACCCTCTGGAACATTCTCGCATGCGGACTGAGAGGCAGAAACAGTAATGAGCTTTAGGCACCTTTTAAAAACGCATTTGTTCGCTCAGGTTTTGCCTGAATTGTCATCAGTTATGACATGCCTCCGTTTCACTGCTTACCAATGGTAAGAGAGCAGCCGCACGTATACAACTAAATCTCCGTTGGTGCACTTCGGAAAATCTGCAAGGATATCAACCTTCTAGTGAGATTAACAACAAAGAGTGCTATCAAGCTGGTGCTGAATTTCAGCAATATCATCTGAGGACGTAGGCTTAGAATTGCAGTCTATGCAGCCTCTTTTGGGCTGCACCAGTTGCATGTTCCCCAGCATTTCTCACATGCTGGAAAGATGTACCACTAATCCTCATGCAAGTTGTAACTCTCATGGGACACATGTGTGTGTGCATGATGCCACTAATTGAGGGGGAGCTTCCTCTCCTGTGATACCAGGTACTCTCTCAGCCTTGTATGATCTTGCGGTATTAATTCCTGTGAGGAGCCATGCCTGCAGCTGGAGCCTCCGGTCATCTTGGGCTGTAGTGGCGTACTTTGTGGAGGCTGGCTGGCTGGCTGGCTCCTCTCGAAGGCGATCTGTGCGCATGTGTTGTGGGGAGATGCCACATCCAGTCTCTTGGTGCTCTTGTTGGATTGTATGTACAGGGCCTTGGCAGACCTGTGTTTTCAGTCTAACAGAGCAGGTGCAGATCTTCCCTTCTACCTCCAGAAAACCTTGCTGAGTATTTTACAGGAAGATAATTACTGCTGAGTATAAGTCCTTTTGTAAATAATGTTTCTTTTTTCTCTTTTTAACAGGGCATTCAGAAATTGGCTAGCCAGTACTTAAAGAAGGAGTGGCCTGGAATAAAAGCAGAGGAGCGGAATGATTTTAGGTAATTTTAGCAGACACATCCATTTGCCTTGTCTTGCACCGCTACCACGTGGTCTCCGTTTTGTAACTTGCACTGCTTTGATACCATGTTGATCCAGTAGCCGCTCTCTCGTAATTGATGTTGTATTGTCATCTCATTGCTTTCTGAAACATGTTAAGACACTTTCGAAATCTGGGGGCTTCTGACAGATTTAAATGGGCCAACAGGGAGTAACAAGCTGCTCCATAAAAAAAACTCTTGTGCCAAATGTCTGCACCTCAAGAACATGTAGACTTCTACACAACAAGATCAGTAATGGTTTTGTGATGGCTGGAGGAGGCAAAGTAGGTTGAAGAAAGACATTCACCATTCCTCGTCCTGGCCTTGCTTAAAAGCAGTTGTCCCGTGAGCTGCTTCTGAGAAGCCCGCTTCCATAAAAGCTGTGCTCTCCTGAACATGGCCAGAGTTCTCTGCCTTGTGCAAGACTACATGGCACACGTGTGTTGTGGTTGCATGGGCAACCTTGGGAGACGGAGGCAGGCAAAGGCAGCATGAGTGGCACTGCCGGGCCAGGTGACACCAGCCGCCCTGGGGGAAGAAATCTCAGGTGCCCTTAGCTCTTTCTCCGATGGCCCTGCTCAGGTGTGACCATTTTGGGGCTTTGAGCAAGTGGTCCTTGCTGTGTGCTGTATTTTAAGCATTATAAGCCTGTTTGAGGAGTCTAATCGAAGCATGGAATATAAATCCAATACAGAAATAATAATGAATAATACTGCAAAATGTAAGAGCTTAAGTGAAATGTTCCAGGGTGGCCTTTCGATACTTTTCCCATACTTGAATGCAACTACCTGTGAGGTCTAGAAGTACTAGCTGAAATGCTTACCAACCAAAAGGGGAGTGGAGGCTAAGGAAGCATTTGTTCTGGAGGTCTGTGCTGTGATTCAGAATGCAAAGACGCCGCTCTGCAGATGGTCCAGCATGTGGGCCGAAGGCAGTCGTGGTCCAGAACATCTCAGGGGCTCCAGGTTGCCTCCCTGTAATTTTGGTCATGCCCGGGAGCAAGCTTCCGCTCATGTGCCCTTGTTGTACATTCAGGCGTTGGTGTGAACTGCAATGACAATGGCTGAGGAAGGTGTAGGAACCCACAATCTACACTCACAACTCCCGCACTGGATGTGCATGAACAGGCCACATAAGTTGTGAGCCATGCCTTAATGTTTATAGGGCTTAAAAGTGAGGCTGAGGCTTGCAGACATTATTTTTTGAGGCTTATAAGAGCATGAATTTGGTTAGGAATAATCTTCATTTTCGTTTTCCAGCTTCCCAGCTTTCGGGAACATAGCTCTTTTTGTTGCTAATTTAAATCAAAGTTGAAGTTAGTTGGCACACCTTACTGTGGCTGACTAGATAGGTCCCTGCTATCACCTCAGCACCCCTTTTGTTTTCAGAAACCATGATAATGTGTCAGCTTCTAGATGTCTAGAGAGACTTTCAGTTAGTGAGCAGCTTATGGAACTGAACTACAGGCGCCTCGGTGGTAAGACTGTGGGCTCGTTGTTCGCCCACCCTCTCCTTTGCCTTTCCCCACACGCCCAGAGAACGTCTGACATTTGTTTCTGTGTTTTAGGAGCATGTATCCAGTGTGGAAATCATTTCTTGAAGGCACCGTGCAAGTGGCACAATCCAGGCTTAATATCTGTGAAAATTATAAAAACCTAATTTCTGAACCTGCAAGGGCGGTGAAGTGCTTTAAAGATCAGCAGCTGAAAAAGGTATTCTAGGAAATGTCAGTGTGCATTCTCAGTTTCGAGGCACGGTTGTGCAAATAGTATGTTATTATTTATTTGTTTGCCTCTTATTACATTACTGCCCAGTAGCTGAAACTCTGGGTGATTCACAGTAGTTTAAAAACAAATTAAAAGCATAAAATGCATCATGAAACAAAGTATAAAATTTAAATGTGAGAATCTTTGGTCATGTTATTTTTTTGTTCTGTATCGTTGATAAAGAAGACCTTTGTTCTCTCCAGAACAGAGCTTTGATAGAGGTTGTGATGCCTTTTTTCTGTCTCTTTGTATGATGCATTATGCCTCTTTCTCAACCCATCTAATGTAAAGTATAGTGTTCTTTTTCATGCATTGCTTATAAAATACCTTGTGATCCTCATCTCTGTACAAGGCCACATGGCGTACATATCATTGTACCTTTTAAGTACCAAAATGTCTAGTCCTCATGACTTCAGACAGCTTCAGAAGCAATGGGTGGTGTCTGAAGACTACTGAAACCACAAAATGTCTGAAGTGGACTTTAATGGTTGAAAAAAAAAAAAGGTCACTTAAGCGCTTTATGCATTTCCTTGTTCCTGTTCCCAACCTGCACTAATTTCTTCTTGCATTTCTCCTGTGGTCCATTTCTATGCCAAAGCCTGGTATATTTCTAAACCATTTAATCTTTCTCCCCTTCCACACCCCACAGTATGTTTGTGTTTTCAAACCCAAATCTTGGGGACAGAAAGAAATCCTAAACAGTAATTCTGAGATCACTTCATCTCAAAAAGGATTGGGGAATGGGGAAGGGTACCGAAAAGTGGAACCTAAAGCATCTGGCCCATTCTGGATTAGGAAAAAAGACAGCCGAGGGGGAGAACTGTATGGAATAGGTAGATTTCTTTTTCTTCCTCTTTTGTAGTAGGAGTCAGCTTCACCCTAATAAAGTTGGCCAGTAAATAATAAAAGGACAGGTGCTGCGTCATACAAGTACTTTATAGAATGCACCACCATGGGATGTGGTAATTGCCTCTGGATGGCCTTAGAAGAAGGATTAGAGAGATTAATAGAGGCTGGGTCTAGAAAAGCTAAGCAGAACCTTCATTTGCTGAAGTCCCGTCCGTCTGAATACAAGCAGCAGCAAGGGGAGGCAGTAGCTTATGACCTGGTTCTCACGACATGGCATAATCCCCCAGCATGGTATAATTTACCCACAGTGGTGATTGTGTCGTGCTGGGTGCCCTTGGTCCGACTGCTTGCTGTGTATTGAGAAACCAGTTGGCAGCGGTTGTTTGAAGGTCAGACAGCTCTCTAACCCGTGCCTTGTTTTAGGGCTGTCTAAACAACCTTTGCCAGCTGGGGTCGCACGGTGCAGCAAGCCCTGACAGGCTGGGAACCCGTGGGCACCACTGCAGCAATGGCCTCCACAGATGCCTAGCACGATGCAGCCGCTCTCAGTGGGAAGCTCGGCCATGGTGGTCTGCCCCTGCCTGGAGGCTTCTCAGAAACATCTGGCTGTCAGGAGCTGTTCTGCTCTGATACTGCAAACCAGTTCTTACATTCTTGCATTTCCATTGTTGTTGTTATCGGATATTTGAGACCTCTGGTGCAGAATCTGGAACGGTACAGGTGACTAAGAGGTGAATGCATCCCTGACTAGATAGATTTGTCAGGGACTGAAGTAGTTCCCAGTGCTTTAGGATTGGGGTGTACGTGCCTTCCTGTTGACATTAATGGGTTTGACTTGAAGCAGCAAAAGGTCACAATGCTAGCACACACTTCCCTCAAAAGAACTGGAGAGAAACATACAGCAGAAGACAACATACTTTGTTGAGAATCCATGAAAATAGGTGTATTTGGGGGTAGCTGTGAAATTTGTCAAATTATTCTAGAATAGGCTTTGAAATTAAGATGCAGCACCTTTAAAAATATTTAAAGAATTATCCAACTCTCTTAGTGTGCAGTGGGTGATACTGAGATGGTTCAGCCACATCCTGTAAAGACATCCCAGGCAGCTGGCCAAAAAATAAATACAGAAGTAACTTTGTGCATTAATACACAGAGCAGGCTATTTTGATTAGGAGAGGCATGCTTTCCAATTTCTGGGAAATGATGTGGCCGATGAAGTGCTGTTTGTTAAATATATTTAGGGTAGTTTTTCGAGCTTTGTAGCAATATATTTCCAGCGGTTACCAGAAACACATTGACTGTATAAGATACCAGTTCACAGTCTGGGTGCCCATGCACGACCTTTCGCAGTGAACCTTGCATTGATTAAATGGGGTGTAGATCAGAGTTCTTATGGAATCACATGAAGAAACTCTGCAGCACCACTCAGGTGGATCTGCTGGGGCAAAAACAAGTTTGGGAAAGGGCAGATTTGGAGTGGATTAGCCCATCCGTCCCCAGCTACATCTTTCCTGCTGCATCTTCTACATCCCACCCACCATTGTGTGTGATACTTGAAAAGGGTGGGCTTACATACAGTGTGGTGTAGTGGTTAGAGCATGGGACCGGGACTCAGAGGATCTGGGTTCTAGTCCCCGCTCAGCCATGGAGCCAACTGGGGGACTCTGGGCCAGTTACAGACTCTCAGCCCAACCCACCTCACAGGGTTGTTGTTGTGGGGATAAGATGGAGGAGGAGATGTAAGCTGCCTT